CTCCAGGGGATTAAGAGGACCCTAGATGGCCCTAAGACACCTCAGCACTGGGAATGAGTATCTCCTGAAAGCACAAAAAACACCCACAAGAGAAATGGCACCAGCCGTCAGCACCTGCTGAAGCAGGTACCTCAGAGGGGACCAAATGATAAAACAGGGAAACTGCTTATAATTTGTAAAAAAAAAAAAAAATCTATCTTTATCTATCTATGATGTTAGGATCCTCGTGGGCATTCGTTCTCGTAACTGCTCCTACCACTCTGTATCATGCTAAGTAGAGTACAAATAGTATAGAGTTAATATAGAGCATTAAGATAAACTAAGAGTGTTAGTGAAAATGGAAGGAAAAAAAATAACACAGATTCGCTGATCTCGGCATCTATGTCTTAACGTGTGCAACAAAATTGGCTCCCGGACAGTTGTTTTTTCAGTTCCTGCCAGTTTTTTTAATCAGGAATTCAGTTTTTTCCCATCTGATTAGCAATCTGCCACTTCCTTGGAATCTAGGAAGGTGCTAATGTATACTGAAACCAAAATTTGAGGCTTAGAAAACCCTTGAGCTGTTGAAAGGCACACCTGTGTTGTTTGGCAGGTGAGTTGAATCTCAAGTAAAGAATTTCTGCAAATCTCCTGTTCAGTCGGCTAAACTGGTTTTTACTCCTATTGAACAAATCCTGGAGTTGGGGGGGGGTCCTCTAGTTTTCCTTAATAACCATAATAAAGCCAAAGAAATAACTTCCAATGCTCATCTCAGTGGCTTAGGTCTCCAAAGTGGAAAAGTTCAGAATATATTTTAAGATATTAAATGCTTTCATGCAAATTCATTCATCCATCATAAATCAGTAGTTTCCATAGTGGAGAAAAAAACAACTATGGTGCTTTATAAAGACCAAATTATTAATTATGATGTTACTAGGAATCATTACTAGGAAAGGTAATGATCCAGCCATTTTCACTTTTACGTAAATTATAAGTTAATTTATGTTGAAATTCAGACTAGTTTGTCGTAGTTAATTAAAAGTATCAGTGAACTGAATCCTATTGAAAATAAGGAAGCATTTATCAGTTGAACGTACTCGGTAAATCGGGTTACAGATAACTGCCAAGGTTACTGGGACTCTATAATCTTAAAGTGAAACGGGCCACTTGTCTTTAGTACTTTGTAAAAATCTGTTCTATTCAGTCTGTTTTCATAGTTGGGAAATTCTCAAGTTGGATTATATGATAATCTGCACTATCTTTAGGTTTCTTCTGATTAAACCGGTTTTGAAAAGCTTCAGTATAAAACATTCTAAAATAAATGTCCAATTCATTTGGCATTCGTCAGTATCAGAGAACATTAACAGTTTTCATTCTCTGGCCAGGCATTTGATGGTTCTTATATCAATTGTACGCCAAAAGTCAGGTGCATGGTAGGGAAGAAGAGGAAGAACATTTGGGGTTGTCTAACCTCAGAGAAAGGACAAAGGCAAAAAGCAAATGAATCAGGCTCATAGGCATGACAATCCTGGCTGTCTTAGCTGGCAAAAGAGCTGACAGTGATGAGCCCAGGCCTTAATTTATGGATGGTTTGTGGTATTTGAAACCCCTTTTAAGCTGAACTTGTGTGTGATTCCCTACAGCAGAAGACTATTTCCTTTTTCAAAGCTTTCAGCCAAGAGTGGAATATTCTTTCCCTCTGGAATACACATGACCTTTTCGCTAAGGGAACTGTTTACACACTCATACATGAATCTCAGTCACCAGAGAAGTTCCCATCCTGGTTGTCCATTAGAAGCTTTAGCAATATCACCACCAGGCCACCGCCACAGGTCTGGCTTACATTGTCCGTGATGCCCAGGAGAGGGACTGGAGGGAGGGAGGTAACTGGGGGTGGGAGGTCTAGATTGGAATTCAGTTTGTTTCCTCAGGAAGCAACATTGGCCATGGTAGTAGTCTGCATTGATGGCTTTTCAAAGATTTATTTATTTATGCATACAGAACTGAGGTACAAGCCAGAGTTGCAGGAGTGGTGAGAGGCTTCACCAGAGACAGAGCGGGGAGCAGAACAGGCAGATCGACAAAGAACACTGATGAGGGGAGCAGCAGGCAGCTCAGGAGAGGTCTGCCGTGCCGTATGGATCACCTCCAGGGCCAGGAATCGAACTCCCACTGAAGCGGCTGCAACCAGCTTGCAGTTCTGCTTCCTAACCCGTTGCGCCACCAGGGAGTGCCACATTGATGGATTTTCAAAGTACAATTGGTAAAATGACATTTTCTACTAAACTTTGGTGGTGGTGGTGGGGGGGGACATGTAAAACACCAAGCAATTCTTCATCATTCCAGTGTCTTTCATTTCAAACAATGGAAATGATAACCACCCTGTTGATAATTCAGAAACTATGTGAGTGTTGGGTGTTCAAGATCACAGCTCTACACTTTACAGTGTCGAAAACCCAGTCAAGGATCTGTCTGCAGAGTGAGAGAAAGAAAGAACAATTATAGTGAGTATCTACCATGAAGACACAAGCAAAATGACTGTCAACCCAGGCCAGAAATAAAGTACAAACTCTACATTGGTGCAGTTCATAATTTCAGGAAATTTCATGGGTGGGTTCTGCTTCATGACTTCTTATGGTGGCCACATAGTTAAGTGCACCAGAAGTAAGCAGATCATTCAGAAAGGAATGGGGCATGGAAATAATAGTGGGAGCATGCTGGAGAGCAGGAAACCAGCTGATAAAAGCACTTTAAAAGGCAAGTCAGACAAAAGAACGAGGACACTTTGTTGTCCCTCCACAAAGGTGACAGGTGCGAACAGGGGCAGATGAGAGGGATGCATTTGGCAGGAGTTTCCCAGACTGTTTTTTTTTTTTTTAAGATTTATTTATTTATGCATACAAGAACTGGGGTACAAGCCAGAGGTGGGGGGCCATAAGAGGATTCACCAAAGACAGAGTGGGGAGCAGAACAGGCAGATGCACTGAAATACACTGCTGAGGGGAGCAGGTGGGGTCAGGAGAGATCTGCCGCGCCATGTGGGTCACTTCCCTGGCCGGGGATTGAACTTGTGCTGCAGTGGCTGCGGATAGGTTCACAGTGCTGAGCTTTAGGGCCCACTGCACCACTAGAGAGGGCACTAAGCCATTTTTAAGTCTGACCTACAGGGAAGTCAACCGGACACACCAGGACAAGCTGGGGGGCCAGGCAGCAGTGTGGCTCTGCCTGTTATCTCACCTTCTGTCCCTCCTCACAGGGTGTGGTGCCCAAGCACGCTCAGGTGCCACGAAGGAGTCCCCAATGCGCCCCCAAAGCTCCTCCCTGGTCCCAGCAGCGTTTACACTGCTGCCTCACACAGACAGTGGCCTTTGGGTGGAACGTTAAAGAGACCGGGACTCAATATAAACAACAAAACGTCTCAAGTCTGTCCAAACTGAATGAGGAGGCTGTATCACATGCAAACCCTTGGCTGACAGGTCAGAGCATGGACTGGGGATTATCTCTAGCCACAAACGCAACTGTGCTAGAGCAGTGTGCTGTCTTAATGTCTCTGTGTTCTAGTGACTCTATGATCTTAGCACTGCTTCTCTACAGCGATCTAATCACTGCTCATTTCATGCTGTACCCATTTGGCTTAAGAGAAAAGAAGTGACAAAGGGGAATTGAGAAATCCATCACAACGAACCCAAGTGTCCCTGCAGAAAGGTTGTGAAATAGGGGTTAGCAACCAGCTTTATTGTGGCGGGCTGATTTATAGGTTTTAGACCTTTGGCTACTTTTGGCAAGAAGTGAATAGCGCAGGCTCATGCTAAGAACTGCAAGGACCTGGTGGGACGACCCTAACAAAGTCAGTATTTTTGTGCTCTCGTTTATGCCCAGAGTGCATCAACGAAGGAATGAACGAGCTTATTCTTCCATCAGGTGGAAAGGTAGAAGTGGTTAAAAAGAGAAAAAAGAGGGCCCTCCCTATGAAGCTCTCAGCAGCCACTGCAGTGCGAGTTCAATCCCCAGCCAGGGGGGTGACCCACATGGTGCAGCAGACCTCGCCTGCCTTGCCCGCTGCTCCCCTCAGCAGTGCACTCTGGTGAATCCTCTCGCCCCCACCCCTGTATCTCAGTTCTGTATGCATAAATAAATAAATCTTTTTTAAAAAAAGAAAAAGAAAAGAGGACAGAGCAGTTCCCATTGTGATAGGACTTTCCATTCACAGAACAGATGCACAGAACTGGGAACTGGAAGGGACTAAGAAAAATTGTTCTGTCGTGCCTGACCCAAGCGGTTAGCTGTGCGGCTGGGACCTTAGAGATGCCTGAAGCGGGAGGGCGGCGACGCCACGCACCTCGGTGCCAGACTCCCGCACAGCACCCGCGGGAAAGAACTGCAAGATGTGGAGTCCCAAAAGGCAGCGCTCCTTCTGCACAAGCCGAGCGGGGCCACCCAACACCACGCGCCGGCAAGCAACCTTTACAGCTCAGCAACCCGAGGGCTGCGCAGCGTTACCAGGCCGTGGCCTTTCCGGGCACACAAAAGGCTTTTCTGCTCTGCTTTTACAAGGTGCTCGGGGAGCCAAGCTGTTTGCCACGGGGCGGGGTGGGGGAGGCGGGGAGGGGAAGGAGAGCTGAGCGGAGGGAGGAGGGGAGGCGCAGCTTCACGTCTCGCAGCTGATCGGTTCCAGCGCCCCGCCACCACCACGGGAGAGCCAACCCCCGCGTCCCCCGGTGCCCCTCCACGCGTGGTCCGAGGATGCAGGCGAGCGCCGGCCGGGCGGCTCCCGACAGCGGGCGCCGGGCCAATAGGCGGCGAGAACCCGGGCGGCGACGGTCGCGGATCCTCGGCG